TCCAGAACGACTTTCTGGTACAATTAGAGAAATAGGTCAATAGCTTTCAGGTACCTGCTGCTATTGACAAATGCCAAAAGGCTGGAATTACCGTCCGAATGGTCACCGGTGATAATATCAATACTGCACGATCGATTGCTACAGCATGTGGAATCCTACGGCCAGGAGCAGATTTTCTCGCTCTTGAGGGAAAGGACTTCAATGCGAGGTTCGAAAGAACCTTTACCTTTATTCAGCCAGCTTTGGACTGTTTTCCTCTGAACTTCTCCAGTTTTATTTATTTTTAAACTTTATTTCTTGACTGTCAAGGCTCGTGTCTGTGTCTGCGTTGGCGAGAGGGGGTCGCAGGGAAGAGGGGAGTCGCACCTTTCTTTGAAAAAATGCTTTCGGTTGTTGACTTTCTCTGTTTTTTTTTCTTCCGTTTCACGTGCGTTAGATGCCCCAGATGAACGCCTTCTCGACGGTGTTTGTAGGGGAAATTGGAGGAATTTTGGTGAGAAACTCCAGAACAGTAGTAAGAAGTAAGGAAAATTCAGGAGTATTAGGCAGGGGGGGGGCTAGGGAAAGAAGGTGTCATAATGAGGGCAAAATTCGGGGAGAGGGGGAGGGGGTGGAGCGGTCGTAACTTGCAAAAATTCTTTCCAACGGCGATACATGCTCTGCTGAGTATTAGTTTTACTTACTGGGTTGCTCAGCGGCTGGGTGTTCCAACCAAAAACATTCCCGGTGACATACAAGGCTCGTTCATCTCTCCATTCGAGTTTCGGCGAGAGGGAGTCGATGAAGAAACTGCATTCTGCATATTTGGCTCTTTATTTGCCAAGCACCCCTCGGTAGCCCTCGCATACTGACCACAGAACTCGGGCGAGGGTTCTGCGCGCCACTTCCGGGTGACGTCCTAGCATTAACACTGATTCTATTGCGACTTGTCATGATTGTTGTGACGGGTTCTTCATCAGCTCCTGTCACGGGTTCCTCCAGCAGCCGTTTCTTGTCAATCTGGGCCTGACGCTGGTTATCGTCACCAATTTTGCAATCTTTTGAAGCATGGTTGTGCCCCGCAGGGATTGAACTCGTGGCTCAGGGTGCGAACGTGAGTCTACACTCTTGAACCACTCGGCTATCCCTGCCTCTTCTTTATTTGCCGAAGCTTTATAACTAGAAGTTCCCCACCACAGCGATTAAATGAAAAGGACTTTACCCAGTATCGGCTAGCAGCCCAGCACATTACCGCTTTGTATACGTCAGCGCTGCTTTTCATGACCTTTTTCTTGAGAGGCCTTCTTTTCATCCGTTCTATGTCCTCCTGAAAATAAGTGTGCGATCACTGCAGGGATTCCGTTGAGGAGAAACGGAAAAGTCAGCCAGTGTCCAAAGCTGGCATCCGCATCTGGCCACGGTTACGTGTTTTGGCTCGAGCTCAACCATCCGATAAGTATGTACTCGTAAAGGGGATCATCGACAGCAAGGTCTCCAAGAACAGCGCTATCGTATTTCCGAAACCTCACAGCGATCTTCAAATCAATTATTGATTACAATCGTATTACTAAAAACAATTATCGATCAAAATCGTAATACAGCCCGGTTTCAGAGAAGTGGTGGCTGTCACCGGTGACGGTACAAATGATGCACCAGCCCTTAAAAAGGCTGACGTCGGATTTGCCATGGTAAGTTAACTATGCTTTATGATGTTGCCCATAACATAGTGACAATAACATAATGACATAGTGACATAATGACATAATTAACATAGAGACATATTGAGAAATAACAATAAAGTGACTGATAAGAGATTTGAGTTTCGAATCCATTTTATCCATTATCGATCCAAAATGTTAAGGGTATTGCCGGTACTGACGTGGCCAAAGAAGCTTCCGACATAATCCTTACCGACGACAACTTTACATCTATCGTTAAGGTGATTAGCTTTGATTATACGGCTGATACCTAAGCGACTTCGTTCTGTACCTGATCGATTTCAGGCCGTTATGTGGGGACGTAATGTGTACGATTCGATCTCAAAATTCCTACAATTCCAATTGACTGTGAACGTTGTGGCAGTAACGATTGCATTCATTGGAGCTTGTGCCATTAGCGACTCGCCCCTGAAGGTATTCAATTATTTCAGTGATTTTTATTCTTATTTTGTGATATTTATTAACAATTTGAAAGCTTTGCCGTATTTTTAATGGACATTACTTGCCTTCAAATCTTGCCCTTTCCTGATCCGTCAATGCTTTTTATGGCTCAACCTCCTTGCCCAGAGAGACTGTTTTACCTGTCTTCAACCCCAACTGCTATACAGCGGATCATTGTGCCTTCTTCATTCGTGCCCACTCCCCCCCCCCCTGTTGCCATATTAGAGCTAGAGGCGGGCGGACCAATAAGAAGGACACAACGGTTGACTGGCCCCACCCATACGATCAGCGTGAAAAAAAATCAGCGATCAGGGCCAAATAGGCATTCGACATTCTTGATGAGATCGCTCAGGCAATGTGTCCAATTTTTTCTCGGCTTGGGTGGGGGGTGAATTTAGCCCCCCCCCCTCCCTCTCCACCCAAGCCGGGAAAAATTTGAACACATTGCCCTTCGAATTCGTCCGAACGTTGTATCCCTTCGTCGGGTTGACCCTCACGAAGAAATTTATGAATTCTTGGGAGGTCATGAAGTTATACTAGTCAAATTTACTCGAGACCACTTGTAAACCCTTGGCAAGATTACCTGTCAACTCTTGCAAAGTAGTGAACACGACAACGGGAAGTATCCAAAGTGTGGAATCTCCCCTCCCCCCCCCCAAACCCGAAATGCGCTTTTTTCGCTTATTTCTGAGCTTTCTGTCTCTCTTGTGATCAGCGAGACAAACGCTTGTTGCTATGTGGTGTTTGGTACTGCCGGAGTCGACTTGAAAACTCGACCACCGTGTTTTTCATTCCAATTTCTATGATTTGAGGCAGGATTTGGTGTAGTGACAAGTGGCAGGATTACCACTCGCGCGGTCCTGGGTTCAAATCCCGGGTCGACTCCCGCCCGGCCAACCAAGCCTTCTACCCTCCGGGACGTAAATTGGTACCAGATTCGTCTGGGAGGATAAAAACATTGACTTGTACATCGGCTGGACCCCGCAAGTCATTGTATAGAC